TGTAAAGTACAGACAATTCTTATATTAATTGCACTCTAACAAATAATTTTCAACGCACACGAAGTCGGTAAGAAAGCTAGTTTATAAATTAACGCCCGAACTTTTCACGTTGCATCCAACGTTTGTATATTGTGATGAATTCAAACCGAAAACTTCGCCAAAATCAGATTAACACGCGACCGCTATTCAAGAACGGCGCTTTACCCGGAAAAAATTTAAAAGTGCCGTCAACATAACGGAACACATCCTAAGATATCTAATAGTTCATCGTATTCAGTTAATCTGTAAGGTACGAAACCGGTACGTGAGAACGGGGCGAGTACACACTACATAACCTGTTGGCACTGTCCACTAAATGATGCGCAATGTAAGTCTTAAGCGACCAGCGATGTTTAATATCGTTTCAACATATCGAATTTAAATACCACCGATCGCACCAAGTATAAGAGAGGACTCAAAGATTTAGAGCCAAAACTCTGCTCTAGTTCCAATCCTTTTTACCAATATCAAAAGGTTATTTCAAGTCATAGGCTTTTTAATTTTGCAGCTGCCAAAACATTAAGTTTATTTTTGATACTACGTAGTTTTAAAGGAAGCGGTGACCAAAGTTATATATGCCAATTACTACTAATTGATTCGTACGATGCAATATAAAAATCGCTTAAGCCTATAACTTGCACCGTGTACATATGTTTGTCCGTCCCGTGAAACTTGCTGGGCAAGGTCGACGCCCCATCTTCCGGCTCCGTTCGCAAATATCGACAACAAATATTAACTATCTCCACATTTTCATACATGTTTGTTTATTGCTAATGACTCTACTTACGGCATTTCTTATTTTAATCTCTCAATGCACGTCTTATACGAGTCGAGTGAATTAAAACTTGATTTGTTCTTATAAGAATTGTTCACAGCATACAAAGACAAATTATAAATATAAAATTTATACTTAGTAGTATAGTATGAACCCCGCTTCCCCCGTGGGGTATGGAGCAGACACGTTTCTGTGTTTGTTACACTAATCGGTTCTTTAGTTCAGACCGAAATAATCTACAATTTCCCATTGGAATTCGATCCCAGGACCTCTCGTGCTTAACTTAATGCTAGGCAACGTGTTTAGTTATTTGGCTACAGTTGCAGTCATGGCTGATATAGGAGAGTAAGAAATAGACTTATCTATCTGTATATACATGGTTATCTCGAAAATTACTTGACAGATCTTTAACTAACTAAAAAGCTCAGCTTGGTGGAACACAACCTTCTATATTCCAACAAAATCGGATTTAAGAGAAAGAGATAGGATGTAAAGATTTTATTTTTGCCCCGGGTATAAATCTAGATTAGCAATAAATTAAAATAAAATGATTAAATTTTTGATGTATGAAAAAGTTTGGATAGTTAAAGACTGGTTACAGTAAACATGGTAAAAAAAATTGCCGAGAGACACTTTTCGACACAAATGTGTTGCCACCGGAAAATTTGTAAACGTTGTTCGTCGTTGGTCACATTTAATAATTACGCTGTTATATAAACTGTTCTATTGTTGTTATGTTATTGTATATCTTCGTTATAGTTCTATCTTAAGAAATTGTTTTTTTCTCTAACGCTGACAGCAATAAACGTCCTATTTCCCTCTGATATATTGTCTCTAAGTGGTGATTGTAAGAACCATTAAAACGAGCAACTAAGGTTCATTCTATGCATTTAAACTGTTTTTAATTGCTCTATGTTTACGATTTCAATTTATGAAGATAACACCAATTTGCATTCTGCTTGTAAAATAGATTTTCGATTGCCACAATTAATATGAATTTATCGTCACAGTTATTGATACCAATTAGAGGTTTCCGTACATGTGGTCAAAATGAAACAAAAAGTAAAACGAGATAAAAAATGAGACACACTTATGGGCTAGATTAGTGTATAAGAAAATGATAGAGTACGTTCAGAACATTTTCCCCTATACCTGTTATAAACTACTTAAATTAAATAAACAAATAAACACTCATACAATAGATGATTTCGATAATATAAAATACTAGCTGTAACAGCGACTTCGTCCGCATAGAATAGTTATTTTGGGCATCCGAATTTGTTTTTGCAAACCCCTTCATCTTTATACATTTAAGCTGTTACCCAGGACGTCAGTCGCGTCCCGTCGCTCGCCACCCGTCGTTCGGGTCCCGTCGTTATATATAGTATCGCCGATAGATATATAGTGTCGCGGACATTTTTTTAGGTAATTTAGAGAGATATTATTTTTTCATATATATTTTTGGGTGTCTTGAACAGCGTACGCATAGGTAACCCACGGAGATTAATATTTTCCCGCTGTTTTTTTCACCTATCGTCCCAGCGCAATGTTTTATAGCCTTCCTTGATAAATGTTCTAACCAACACAAAATTATTTTTCAATTCGAACCCGTAGTTCCTGAGATTTGCGCATTCAAACAAACAAACAAATTCCTCATCTTAATATATTATTATAATTATAAAATATAGATTATACAAATACTTGATACCATCATATATGGTACTTCAATCTCATATGAACCATGAACAAAATTTACTTGGTTTGCATATTTAGAAATTTGTATCACTGTCTGTAGTTCATTTAAATAAAGCACGGTTTGAACGGTTTGAAACGCGATATATATTAGCTCCACGTGACCTCGGCTGCTGCAAAGCATCCGAAACGTCGGGCCGTAGTTAAAATACTTTTCAAATAAGTTTAATTAATATATCGCGTTTTAAAATGTTAAAGTGTTTTATTTGAATTTGTGTCACCATACAAAAATGTGTGCTGCCATACCGATACAAAAATGAATAACTGATTTAAAGATGGTTCATGTTTTGAATCATAAAATAAAGATAAGTCTGTATCCACTTGGAATGAAATCCACGACCAATTGTTTAACTGCCAGACTGCGGATGCTTTGCAGCAGCCGTGGTCACGGGAGACTAAAGATGGAGTATATCTCTGACGTCATAATATATAGTTACATACTCGTCTACCAAACTTAACTAAAAAGTCGCTCTTTGTAAAACATAGTAAAGGATTCAATTTATTTGCATAAACGTGTAAATTAATTTTAAATTATTTCTACTTATGTTCTGCCTCTCACGACTTTTTATTACTTTGACAGAAAACGCATAAAATCTGTGACGAGGGACATACACGAAAAATATATCAGAAATGTACCAATAAAGCGTATAAGTTTATAACGGGTACACTTAAGATATGTAATTTGATAACAGAAATATTGTATTTTGAATTCGATAAGGTCGATTTGGATAGAATTATTGAATACATTTTGTTTGAGTGAAACAGCTTTTATAAATTGTTCAGGGGGCAATTATTGTTTTATTTCAAAATTAAAAATAAGTTCTATAAACCTTTGAAAAGATGTTTGAAAGTTTTACCCAACACTTATAATAATAAGCCTTTTATTTCTTGTGTTTTACATTATTTGTTGATATATAGCATCAAACAGATTTTGTCAGTACCTAAGCTAATGTTAGTAATTTAAGTATACATTTAAATAAAACACTTTAACGGTTTAAAATGCGATATATTAGTTAAACTTATTTGAAAATGAATTTAACTGCGGCCCGACATTTCGGATGCTTTGCAGCAGCTGTGGTCACTGGTCACGTCAGCAGTCTCCACGTTTACATAATATATCGCGTTTTAAACCGTTAAAGTGTTTTATTTAAATGTGTACTACTCGCGTAAACTATAGACAGTATTTAATTTAAGTATACTTAAAACTTCTTATTATGTGTACAAACGACAAACAAATTGATTATCGAACAACAAGGTCTATATATGAGGCCGCTAGAGGCAGAGTAGCCTAACTGCAATTTTTTATATTACATATATATATTTTCATAGTCTAAAAATGCTAATCTACAAGAGCGCAGTGACCGAAAAGTGGTAACAATTTTTCACAAATAATGGTACAATTTCATTTTCGCTTAAGTTAATTCCGCATTTTTATTTTCCTCCATATTCAAAATCATGATCTTTCGTTATTAGGCTACTGTGCCTCTAACAGCCTCATATGTGTACTTGTAAGCCCTTTTTTAGTATTTATTTCATCGGAGATCGTCGAACACTTAACGCTAATTATCTCTCAGGTGAAAAAAGTAGTTTTCAGATGTACGGAGATGGTAAAAAAGCAATGTGTTCGTTTGTAAGTGTGCAGTAAGTATTAATTAAGTAAAAATCGCTTTCCAAAATACAAACTTCTTTATAAGCTTAATCTTAATCAAAGTTGATATCTTGACAACATAATTACAAGATTTACCGTTGCACACTAATTCTTTGTGATTTTAATAAATACGCCTCATGTTAGGGTTGCCAACTTTTTAAAAGTATTACAAAAAAGCTGGTTGGGCGGTCGAGCTGTTCTGCAAGATGGTCGAAACGGTATACAAGCTCTTTAAATTGGCAGTGAATACGACAATTTATGAACAACACATACATTTTTAAACCGTTGTACTAATATTTTGTTTTACAATAACTTCTTTGTTCCATATAAACAAATATACAGACATAGGAAAGTACTTATATGAGTTTTTGTTTTTTCAAGTCCACTAAATTGTAATAAATATGTGTACGTAATATATTGTTTAAAAATATTATATCACTGGGCCGTTGACAAGGTCAGTAATCATTTATAGACTGTACGCTTTTCACAACCCTATTTAGCGTACCTTCGCTAACAAACTTGTAAATCACAATCATTTGTTTCTTGATACTATGTTATAAATCATCATACTTTGATTTGGAGTAACGTCATGCTATCCTTTTTCTTACTACCTAAAATTGATACGAGTGAAAGGGTAAAACATAATTGCATTAAAATATTCACAACATTAATATGTCAAAGCGGTTCAAAGAAATAGTGCGAGTAAATAACTCATGAATTTATGTCTGTATTAAAAATTTATATGGACTGTGCACGAAAGTTTTTGTCGTGGTCTCTAGCATAAAGATGCATTCACAATGGTCTGGTAGATTAGTTGCCATGAGATATAGGGTAGTACTTTGCATAGAAATTCAAATATATAATTCGTAATCCGTAGTTATGAACGTGTCTTAAGCATGAGAAATTTACATCCCTTGAAAACACGATTAATTGATAGGTCAAGGCTAAGCTGGACTAATTTCATCTTTTAAAAAGTGGTCACTTGTAAGTCCGTCGCATAGTCTTAGTCTATGGATTTCTGAATGTCTAAGGACGAAGTAGGTAGATCATTTGTTTAGGAGTTACCTTCTAACAAGTGAACATGCTTGTCTGTTCTTTGCTGTCATATTTTTTCACATTAATTACAACATTTAGATACGTAAACATTCGTATACATTATGCAAAAAATGTTATAAGGCACTATTATGCCTTAGCAAATATAGCTTCCTAGTACCAATATAAATATCACATACCAATGTATTTTTCAAATGAAAACAAGAGAAAGAGTCAAGTTAATCGATTTCCGATTAAAAGAATCGATAAATTATAGCATCGAGGTATCGAATTTCCTATTTCCACTTGTTCTTTTTGAATTTACGGCTCTTGAATGGGATCTTTAGATTCTATCTCTTTAGTGTCTATTGTTTAAATGTATTCTTTGTAATTTGAACCGATTAACAAAAAAGCTACGATATAATGTATAAATAACTTTTGGTTACATATATGTATTTTGACATATTTTGTACAGAAAGGGTAAAAGCGAGACCTCAAAATAAAAATAAAATAAAATATGTAATATTTAATAGTCAGTCGGTTCGTCGTGATTCTACAGTGTTCAAAGGAACAACACAAATGCGAAGAATACCCTAGAAACTCATTTTGGCTTTTTTCAACATGTCTTATAAAGGAATACATTTTTCTGAATCCCTTGTGTTCCCGTTGTATACGTTTTTTTATAGTATAACCAATGTAAAATACATAAAGTACGAAAGGTATTGTACCTACAAGAGATGTGATTTTTTTGCTTAATGTCAGTAGATGATATAAGGTGTAGCACGGAAGATTTCGAGTTCAAATCTCACAAATAAAATATAATGGGTTGTTCTATTGAATTATATCTGATGATTTTAGAACTAGTAGTTAATGTCAATTTAGAGTTATATAATGATTAAGTGTTACCTACCTACCCAATTACCCACATAAATAAATTATTATTGACTGACTTTTTTACGGAAGTCACACCTGCCGCGAAATCCAGGTCTCCAGAGAGCTGATGCGTGCCGGCAGCGTCCCCGAGCACCTGCCACATCCAGGACGCCAGTGCGCGAGAGGAAGCTGCCTGTGTCACCGAAGATCAAGACCCAGAGGCGCAATAGACGCGAAAGGAAATACCTGCAACCGCTGCGGCGGCTGCAGAATGGTCGAGATGGTGAGCCACACTTAGCTCATTTTTCCGACAGATTTGACAGTTGACACATGACAGTGAAATGCCCATGACAGTGACAGTGACAGCTTTATAACATCTAATTAACCTTAACACTTTTTTTCAACTGATTGTGTTGAATGCCTAAAGCCACATCGGGCAATAGTGACGTGGGGAGTGTGGTAAATTGTACTACAACCCCCTCGGAGACAACAGCCGACCAGAACCACTAAACACGCCACCAGCTCGCTACGGCTTTGCGGGAGCCCTGGGAACACATTAGGTACACCTTAGTGCCAAAAGGATATTGCAATGAGCATCTAAGTGTTGCGCATAGAAGAAAACATGGAATATTGATCAGCTCATTATGATAATATAGAGTCTTACCGACGACGTCCTTACTGAACTTGCTTTACTGGTTTTAAAATTGATTTGCTCACTTATTAGAAATAATTTCCCCCATACTGTCCACATTTCTTTAACGACTCAAATGGTTAAGCTAGTTTATTGTAATTGAATAAATTAAATACTGTCTATAGTTTACGCGAGTAGTACACATTTAAATAAAACACTTTAACGGTTTAAAACGCGATATATTAGTTAAACTTATTTGAAAATGATTTTTAACTTCGGCCCGACGTTTCGGATGCTTTGCAGCAGCCGTGGTCACGGGGAGACTAAAGATGAGGATGTCTCAGACGTCAAGTAAGAATTGCTACGCTAGCGCCATCTGTTCCGTCGAAGTTGGTATTTGGCGAAACTGGCCGGGTCCTTACAGAATTGACTAACGGTGTCTTCGCGTTTGCTGGTATGCTGTTTATTGGGATCCAGGTTTTTAATATGGGATCCCAGGTGTTTGATAGTTTGAGGCCGTCCTCCCTATTGAAATTTCGGTGTTTTTTGATTTCAATTGCTTCGCGTACCAATCTTGGAAAAAATCGACTCTCCTTTGCGAGGATTTTTGGTTGGTCAAGCGAATGTAGTGATTGGGCCCTTCTGATGAGTGTTGGCATACCGCAGATTTGGAGAGACGTTTAGTTTTAATCCGCGACGTGTTCTTTAATTCTGTTTGAGATGCTACGCTTTGTTTGGCCGATGTAGGATAGGCCACAATCACAATCCAGTCTGTAAACGCCTGCATCTTGTAAAGGGATAGTACACTTGTTTGGTTTCAGGAATTGCTGAATGTTCTTGTGCGGCTTGAAAATTGTGTCAATAGAAGCTCGATTTAGGACTCTGCTAATTCTATCTGTAACTCCCTTCACATATGGTAGGTAGGCGGGCTGACGTTTGACTGTGGGTGGCTTGTTCCTGTTCCTGGGATGCTGCGGAGGGACTCTCAGCTTGTTCTTGCATAGGACCTGCTTGACATGCTGTAACTCCTCATTTAAGTGGGCAGCATCACAGAGACGGCGGGCTCTCTGAAACAAAGATACTCCGACAGAACTAAGTTGGCTGGGGTGGTGATGTGAGTCACCGTTCAAATACCTATCTGTATGGGTTGTTTTTCTAAAGACGGTATGCCCAATATTACCGTGTTCATCACGAATTACTAAAATGTCTAAGAAAGGTAGTGTGTTATTGTCCTCCTGTTCCATTGTAAACTTAATGTTATTGTGAATTGAGTTAAGGTGTGTAAGAAATCTCTCAAAAGTCAATTTAGATGAAAACACCGTTCAAGTATAAACAAAGGACTAAATTTTGCTCCGGCGCCGCGAAAAATACCTTGCGAAGAGATAATCAGCTACGTCGAGGAAAGCATCTTCAAAAATGTCATCCCTAAGGAAGATGGAAGCAATACGGCAGGATAATCCTGTATCCTACGCTCCAGCAAGCCGCCTAAACACAATCTTTCCCTAGGGAGTCGACTGCTCTCAAACAACTAAGAGCGAATGAAGATATTATAGTACTGCGTGCTGACAAGGGAAACGCCACGGTCGTGATGGATACGTCGGACTATAAACAAAAGATGTCGGAAATACTTGATGACGACGCGGTTTACAACAAGGTTGCAAAGGACCCCACAACCAAAGTAATGAAAAAGACGTCGGAACTTATTAACAAGTACAAAACGACTCTAAACCTCGACGCCAAACATCTCATCACAGCCTGCCCGAAGCCACCTAAAATGTACGGGTTACCTAAAATTCATAAATTAAACAATCCCTTACGTCCAATAGTTAGTCAAATAGATTCGCCCACTTATAAACTAGCAAAACACTTATCCAGAACACTCCCCCTCAGGGGAAATACAAATGCTCACGTCAGGGATTCGTATCAGTTTGTAGAAACTATTAAAGGTCTAAAGGTAGCGGACAATGAGGTTATGGTAAGCTTTGACATCACATCTCTCTTTACAAACTTACCTATAGCTGATTGTATCAAAATTATTAAGAGCAAACTTATTAAACACAACATGCCTATAGAATATGCGGATATCTTAGAACATTGCTTGACAACCGGGTACCTACTTTGGAATGGGGATTTCTATGTTCAGGTAGATGGGTAGCCATGGGTTCTCCAGTTTCACCCTTAGTGTGACATTTTTATGGAAGACTTTGAGGAGAGAGCCCTTGCTTTTCCCCGGTTAAACCTAAGCTTTACAAGCAACGTAGACCTTCACCATCCCAGAAAGTTGCATTTCTTACACACCTTAACTCAATTCACAATAACATTAAGTTTACAATGGAACAGGAGGACAATAACACACTACCTTTCTTAGACATTTTAGTAATTCGTGATGAACACGGTAATATTGGGCATACCGTCTTTAGAAAAACAACCCATACAGATAGGTATTTGAACGGTGACTCACATCACCACCCCAGCCAACTTATGTCGGTTTTTCAGAGGCCCGCCGTCTCTGTGATGCTGCCCACTTTAATGAGGAGTTACAGCATGTCAAGCAGGTCCTATGCAAGAACAAGCTGAGAGTCCCTCCGCAGCATCCCAGGAACAGGAACAAGCCACCCACAGTCAAACGTCAGCCCGCCTACCTACCATTGTGAAGGGAGTTACAGATAGATGCAGAGTCCTATCGAGCTTCTATTGACACAATTTTCAAGCCGCAAAGAAGATTCAGCAATTCCTGAAACCAAGCAAGTGTACTATCCCTTTACAAGAGCAGGCGTTTACAGACGGATTTGATTGTGGCCTATCCTACATCGGCCAACAAAGCGTAGCATCTCAAACAGAATTAAAGAACACGTCGCGGATAAAAACATAAACGTCTCTCCAAATCTGCGTATGCCAACACTTCGAAGGGCCCAATCACTACATTCGCTTTGACCAACCAAAAATCCTCGCAAAGGAGAGTCGATTTTTTCCAAGATTGGTACGCGAAGCAATTGAAATCAAAAAACACCGAAATTTCAATAGGAGGACGGCCTCAAACTATCAAACACCTGGATCCCATATTAAAAACTCTGGATCCCAAAAACAGTACCAGCAAACGCGAAGACACCGTTAGTCAATTCTGTAAGGACCCGGCCAGTTTCGCCAAATACCAACTTGACGAAGATGGCGTAGGTAGCAATTTTTTACTTTGACGTTGAGACATCCTCCATCTTTAGTCTCCCCGTGACCACGGCTGCTGCAAAGCATCCGAAACGTCGGGCCGAAGTTAAAAATCATTTTCAAATAAGTTTAACTAATATATCGCGTTTTAAACCGTTAAAGTGTTTTATTTAAATTGAATAAATTGCGAGATATCCTGGATTTATATTGCGGGACAAATTTCGATCGAGCAGGATACTTAACTATGAGAGTGGTGGTACATCACATTCAACTCGAAGAATTACGCATGTAAAATATATTAATAACTAGCTGTGCCCGCAAATTCGTCGGTGTGGAATAGTTTTGGACATTGGAGTTATTTGACGCAGCCTGATGTTTTATAGGCTCATACCTTCCTCAATAAATGGTCTGTCCAAAAGTATTCAAGAAGACAAAAGAAACTCTAAACAAGAATTGTTCGATAAAAAAACAGTAGTAAATTAGCGCCCTTAATAGTAGTAATATTAGTTTACATTAAGATAATACAAGTTTTAAAAAGGATCACCTCTGTAGACAAATGGTTAAACGTATTGCCTAGTATTATGTTAAGCGCGAGAGGTCCTGGTTTCGAATCCCAGGGAAGCAATAAATTGTTTCGGTGAGACATGTCACAGAAGTGTAATCAACTACGTTAAAGGATAGATCAGTGAAACGGACACAGAAATATGTTCGCCCCATGCCCCACGAGAGGGAAACGGGATTTTACACACACTAGAGTTATTGTGAATTGTTTTATTATTATACTGCGCTGGTGCTGCGACCCCAAGTGTGAGTTGGCCTTCGAGAAAGTTCCAACTTCGACGACCTTACGTTGTGTGTTTTAAATTATATAATTTTTACGAATCAGATAATGTTTTTTTATTCCATAGTCTTATTTCGAATCATCGACAACAAAATCGATACGATATGAATAAACATTTGCCTACAAAGACATTAAGTACTTATAAATACTGACTGTTTTCTTAAACAATTTTATTTAATACAAGGATATAATGATATTCCGCATAATTTACTATTACCTGATAAAATCTTTTATAAACTGCTTTTCACAATACGATTATAATAAACTGGTTGTGTTTATGTAGGAACGTGACAACGAACAAAGAATGTCGTTCTTAAGTTCTTTATCTATAATTTCGGTATTTAGAAATTAAACAAAAATCAAAATGTATTTAAAAGTCCTATATGCAGTCATTTAAAACTAAATGCTATCCCAAACTAAAGTTGGGTAATGGAGAGGTAACCAGAAACGAGACATACGTTTTATTTATTAATACAGCTTTATTTTTTACAACACATACCACAAAACAAAAGATATAAGAGAAAAAGCTTACGTACTAACTTATAATTGAAAGCCTTAGCACTAGTGTCTCTTCCAGGCAACCTCCCTTATAGAAGAAAAGGTGTAAGGATAATAGCCCCTCATGTAGATTATTTTCGATTCCAAACGGGGTACAGGCTATATTCATGCATTCTATTCAACGAGTGGGCTAAC